AAAACTGCCAAGCTTCTTACTCCCTCTCCCTAAGAACTGCTCTTTCAAGTAAGCCAAATCCTACTCACCTGCATTTCTAGAGTTGGGAGGAGAAATTAAGTTCAAAGAAAGAGGTTTAAATATTCTTTCCTTTGACAGAACAAACAAAAACAACTTAAAAATGTAAAACTTGTAAACTATGTCTCCTTCCTATTACGTGAACTTCATTGTAGTATATGCCTGCCTTCAGGGAGTTCACAATCTGATTGGGACTTTTAAATTGCTCTCTTTCAAAGTATAAGTAGTAATTGAAAGGTGGAGGAGGGAATTCCATGGAGAACTGCACATATATGGAGACAGTCAACCCTCAGCATGGTTGGAGAGTATGGAGTGGTGTGGGGTGGGGAAAAGAGAGCGGTGGGGAAGATGAGGCTAACTCTGGAGGTTCAGGTTGGATTATATAGGGCCCAGTGTGCAAAGTATTTTGGAATTGATCCTGTGGGTAGCAGAGATCAATCAATAGTTCTGGGTAAGATAACATATTCAGAACTGTTTAAGAAAGACAACTCAGGGAGCAATGTGAAAGATTCTTAAGCAAAACTTATATGATATTAAACTTAATAGTGATAAATTCCTCTTTTCAAAAATCAGCTGTACTACTATTAAAGAGGTGTAACTTATCAGCCATTCATGTGAAAAGGACCTGAGGGTTTCAGTTGACTGTAATCTCAATGTGAGTCAACAGTACATCATGATTGCCAAAAAAGCTAATGCAATCTTAGGCTGCATTAATAGAAGAAGAATGCTCCAAACAAAAGAGAATAGCCCCTCTATTGTGTTCTCTAGTCAAAGCATAGCTAGAATATTATGTTCAGGTCAAGATATTCCTATTTAGAGAAAGCTGAGCAGAACTAGTGAGATCAATTAGAAACCTCATTATATAATGAACAATTTACTTGGGATATTTCGCCTATGAGAGAGGATTTATGGATGTTCAGGAATTGCTAGCATTCTTCAGATGTTTGAAGAGGGATTAAATGGACTCTGATGCTTTCAGAAGGCAAGAGTTTGACCAAAGAAAGATTTTCTTAAAAACTGGATGTATCCAAAAGACAAACTGCGCTCCCTTGAGTTTCTCATCCCATGAAATGTTTCAGCAAAGGCTGAATGATCCCCTTTAAGAGATGTTACTGAGAGGATTTATGTACAGATTTGGAGGTTTGTCTCAGAACTCTTTAATGTCTCATCTACCTCTGAATACGTGGATTATGCTGTAGAGTGGGTAATGACTTAAGAAAATTCTTTACATCCAAACTACTCCAATAGCAGAGGTCTCAGGTTGGATACTGCTTAGATAGTCATGTCAGTCTTCCTGCCAGCTAGGCAGGAGCCCTCAGCTTTGGTACAATCTTTTTGGGGAGATCTCATTTCTCACAAGGTGAGTGGTCCTTCTTTTTAACCTCTAAACATAAGGAAGTCACATAACTGCCAAAGAAAGAGGTAACAGAAGAAAAAGAAATGAGTCCCTACTCTCTGAGTCTTTATTTTGTATTAGTAGATGATATTTTATCTATAGTTTATATTACTAGATGCAGTGCATAAGTGTAGGAGTTGGAGTCTCACATCAGGTCCATCACCACGTTCTGGTGGCTCTGTGTCTAAGTTGGTTCTTGCCTCCACTGTCACCACTTTAATTCAAGCTCCCTCACTCACACCTGAACCTCTCAAGTAGCTTAAAAGGCTCTCTTTAATTTAGAGGTCTTAGACTCTTCATTTGTAAATTGAATCAATATGAGAAAGAGTAAAATAAGACACATATAAATGTGTTTTATAAATGGCTAACTAAGTACTGTATCAATGCTCATTATTAATAATAATATAATTCAATTACATTATTAGTGAAGGGAACTTTTGGGCCAGTTCATCAGTCATTCTAATATCTGGATGCCCACTATGTGTCTAGCACTATTCCAGGCTCTGGGGATACAGTAGTAAACAAAAAAAGACATAAAATGCATTCTAAAGCCCAGGCAACTGACTCACAGATAATTTTAAGAACATGAACCACTTGTAAGTTAGGGGCATCCCATACAAACATTGGTTAACTGTCAGTGTTTT